GTATTTCATAATGTACTCAAGAAACAACATTTAATTTTTTTTTTTTTTTGGTACTGGGGATCAAACTTGGGTCCTTCTGCTTTCAAGGCAGGCAGCAGCACCACTGAGCCAAATTCCTGGCCCAAGAAACAACATTTGAATCACAGCCCTTCAATGTACTTTGGGAAAATTATGTGTCTCAAATAATATAATAATAAGGAAAATAGAGACTTGAATATAAATAATGGTAGCTGTCATTTACTGCATGTTTTGAAGTTTTATAGTGCATCGCTAATAAGTCTATTTGAGGAAAAAATGTAGCATTGAGAATGAACTGTCATAGCCCAATGACTTGTCAAATTGTACAATAAAACTTTGTGTAAGAATTACTGTTGAATCACTATTATAAAAGTAGCAAAATAAAGAAATATAGATATTATCATAGAAAATAAATGCAAAGTTTACAGTTGTTTTTTTTTTAGTTCACATTTGTTTTTGAGAACTGATATAAAACAAAATTTTAGTCAGTCATGAATTAAAAATCAAAAATAAAAAAAATGGACCTGCCACTACCTGCTGTGAAAGCACACAGTCCTGAGTTCAATCCCCAGAACCAAAAAAATTAATAAATAATAAAAATAAAATAAAACAAGTGATTCAATGATGTAAAGACAGAAGAAATATCTGATACATTAAAGTAAGTATGAAGTAATGTTCACATTTAAAAAGGGAATGAGCTGCCATTCAGCTAAATGAATTACTGCCACTGAGTCACACAGTGTGACTGAAAAGTGTCCATGGAAAGATATTATGAGGTGGTAACCACCTGAAGAGCCAATGGTTATTGATTAAACAATGCCATTTCTTCCTTCTCCTACAGATAAAACAGGGTCATGCATGCAGTGAACCACACAGGACTATCACAGTTCCTCCTACTGGGCCTCTCAGAGGATCCAAAAGTCCAGCCCATTCTCTTTGGACTCTTCCTGTCCATGTACCTGGTAACAGTGCTCGGGAACATGCTCATCATCTTGGTTACTGCCTGGGACACTCACCTCCACACCCCCATGTACTTCTTTCTCTGTAATCTGTCCTTTGTGGACCTTGGCTTCATTTCCACCACAGTCCCCAAAATGCTGATGAATATCCAGAAACAGAATAAAGACATCTCCTACGTGGAATGCCTCACTCAGGTATACTTTTTTATAATTTTTTCAGGAATGGATAATTTTCTACTGACTGTGATGGCCTATGACCGCTTTGTAGCAATCTGCCACCCCCTGAAATACATACACATCATGAACACTCAGCTCTGTGGCCTCCTGGTTCTGATATCCTGGCTTATAATCACATGTGTCTCTCTTATTCATATTCTCCTGATGACGCAGCTCAACTTCTCTACCAGCACCAAAATTTCTCATTTCTTTTGTGAACTGGGTCAGGTTCTCAAGGTGGCCAACTCTGAAACCCTCATCAATAACATCTTTTTATATGTGGCAATTGTCCTGGTGGTTTTGTTTCCTGTCTGTGGGATCCTCTTTTCTTACTTTCAGATTTTGTCTTCTTTAATGAGAATGTCCTCCACTGTCAATAGGTATAAAGCATTCTCTACCTGTTTGTCTCATCTCTGTGTGGTCTCCTTGTTTTATGGAACAGGACTTGGGGTCTACTTCAGTTCTGAGGTGATCCACTCTTCTCAAGGAAAATCAGTGGCCTCTGTGATGTACACAGTGGTGACTCCCATGCTTAACCCCTTCATCTACTGCCTGAGGAACAAGGATGTGAAAGGGGCCCTTGGAAGACTCTTCAGCAGAGCAGGTTCTTTTTTTGTGAAACATTCACTTGAGAAATAACAGGATGTTACAGCCCATAAGACAAATGTTGAATTTCACTAGGCAGAGTCTTTTACCCTCCTCAATGATATGATTGATTTCTGATATATCCAAAGCACCTTATATTTTGTCTTTTAAATATTTTTACGTTTCTTTATTTTGATTGAATCCCTCAGTATTTTCTTTTTATTTGTGTTTTTATGCCTAAAATAAAGTTTCAAATTTTCTAAGACTTCCCAGACAATTCTGAGATTTTGAACATAATGGAAACATATCAAATGAAGGTATTTTTTTCAAAAATATTTACTTTAATGTTAATGATCTTCTCCATATTATGGCTGCAATCTTGCTTTTGCCCAAAGAAAGGAAATGCAGAAAAACAAAATATTTATTATATGAGGCTGGATTTGCCATTTTTATTTGTAGTGATTCAATTCCTAGAGTAGCTATGAGGTAATATAATTGTTAGGAGTCTTAATCTATCCTAATGAAGATTGCTTTCTTTCTTATTGGCTATATGTCTTTTCCTTCATTTTCATACCTTTCTCACTTTCTTCTTTGTATTCTGCACACTTTCTTTCTCCCTTCCATTCCCTGCTTTGTCTTCTTCTCTCATTTGGGCAGTTTTATTTGGTAATATTAATTTCCTTTCTAATATTGAATAATGCTCTATTGTGTAAACAAACAGTTATCCACTCACATAGATTATTTTGAAGATTTACATTTTTGTTGGTATGAATAAACCATAATAGATATGTGTGCACATTTACCTGTCAGTACCCTACACAGTATAAGTATGCTTCTCAGATGATCCATAACATCATATTCCTTAATGAACTGATGAATAACACAACCACCAATAATGCAAGGGTGCTAGGAAGAATGTGTTTCTCAAAATTAAGAAATATTCTTTCACAGGTATCATTTATAGATGCATTTGATGAAAATATACCCATTCAAAACATCAGAGTAATGAGTTCCAGTCTCCTTTCCCCCAGCTACATTTCTATTTGAAAGGTTGTCCAAAAATGTACCTATAGTATGGAATACCTGTCTCAGATTGTACCTCACGAATCTCTCTGAGAATATACAATTGCTATTCCTGCCCAAGTACCTGGTCATAGTTCCTGGCAATCTGCTTCTCATCCTGGACAAGACCTCTGACTCCCTCCTCCACAACACCATATACTTCTTGATCTTTTTCCTATTTCTCACATGTGGCATCTCCACCCTGTTCCAGATATAATTGTTGATATGTAAACTCACAAGATAATCACGTCCTAGTTGGACTTTGGGGTGCAGGTGAATCTATTATAATATTTGAATGTATAGATGATATGCTTATTACTGTGGCTGACCTAACTGGTGTGACTTACTTTCTTTAAAACTGAGACAAATATACAACATCCACAACTTACTTGAGGTGAAGTCTATTTGGGCTTAGTGTTATTAGAGGTTTCAGTCTAAAACTGACTGGATTCAAGGCATAAATAGTACGGTAAAAAATCCTGGCAGAGAAAAGCTGCTCACATCTTGGTGACTAAGAAGGAGAGAGAGAGAGAGAGAGAGAGAGAGAGAGAGAGAGAGAGAGAGAAAGAGAGAGCAGAGGAGATATACCTTCTAGGTTATCCCTGTAGTTACTTGCCACTTCCAATCCCACCTCCAAACATCCACAAATACACACTCTCATGATCCAACCACCTTCTGAAAGTTTTGTCTCTGAGTCCACGTGCATTTCGCAAAGTCATTATTGATCTAAACAATAATAACTAGTTTAAGATCATTGTTCATGTCCCATATTACACAGTGATTATGATCTCTTACCTCTGTATGTGTATATATTTTGTATACTTTTTGGTTACAGATTCAGATCCCCAACTTTAAAATGTTACCGGCTTCTATCAAATCACCAGTGATGTTGAACATTTTTTCAACACTGAGATTCCACCTCACCCTAGAAAGAAGGGCTGCTATCAAGAAATCAACCAAAAAATTTGCTGGGGGCGGGTTGTGTGGATAAAGTAACCCTTCTTAATTTTTGGTAGGAAAGAAGACTGGTACAACTATGGTGGAAATCAATATGGAAATACTTCAAACTTCTAGGATTAGAATTCCCATTAGACTCAGCTATTGCCCTGCTGGTTATCTTTGCAAAAGAATCAAAAGGATCATACCTTAGTGATATATACTCAGCCATGTTTATAGCAGAACATTTTGTGATAGCGAAAACTTGGAAACAGCCCTATTACCCATCAACTGGAGAATGGGTAAAGAAGATTTTTGTTTGTTTGTTTTTAATAAAATGTAGTACTACTCAGCTATAAAGAGTGATTAACTAGAGACATTTATAGCTAAATAGGTCTACATTGAAACCATATTCCTAAGTGAAATTAATAGGACACACATGTGTAAAAACCATATAGTTTCTCTGGTGTAAAAAGCTAAAAGTGTAAATAAGGATCCAGATGTATAATTAATATTGTGTAATAGGAAGTAGAGGTCTAAAAGAGAAGAGGAATTGGGAAGGGTAGGGGAAAGGTAAAAAGCGAAAATTTTAAAAATGAGAAAAGGAAAAAATGGAAATAAAGTCTTTGTAAATACGCCAGGGTAAATGGGTTGAAGGGAGGGCAGGGAAATGGGGAAAAATAAGAAACACTATATGGCGTGTAAAGGTAAAAGTTCCCAAAGATGAATGTAACTGTATTTTATATCTACAATGTACCAATAAAATACTATTGGCTTACATTTCTCTTGCTGTAAGGATAAGGACAACATAAATTTCTTGTTTGAGCTTCTCAGATGCTTGATCTGACCTTTCTGACACCATTAACTTTAATATGATCATGGATTTTACTTACATCATATCTGTGGTTTTCCCATTTCAAGGATGACTTTATATTACTTTAAAATTAGTTCCTTGGGCCAGGGATTTATCTCAGTGGTTCCGCCATCTGCATATCTAGCACAATGTCCTGAGTTCAACCCCCATGACCCCTCCAAAAAAACTAATTCCTCAATTAAGAGTATTCCATCATCATATAGGAAGTATAAATCTTTCCCTACCTGTGGATTTGAACTTTCGGTGGTCTGCTTCTTTTGTGGCACAGGACTTAGAGTGTCCACTTCATGATAAATCCTCCTCCCCCAAGAATTATTTATTAAGCCAAAATTTATATCATGCTCACCATTATTTTGAATTCATTCCTCTGAATTGTGAGGAATAAAAGCATTAGGAGGACTCACAGAAAAACAGTACAACTTCAGGACCTATGACATCCATTTGAAATGCAGGTTGGAGGACTATCAGAGCCATTGTCTTGCATCATGAAGGAAAAATATGAAATAGGATGGTGATATGGGAGGATACCAAAGGGAAAATTTTGTAATGTGACTTCTGTTTATTTGGTCAAACATATATACCTGAAAATCTAACTTCCTTTGTGACGTTATTTTTGTCATGATATCTTTGATTCTTTAACCTGTCTTGTAGTAGAGTGATTGTTGCCATGACAGAGTGAGGAAGGACTGGGAAAAACATAATTCTGGGAATGGACAACAGCGATGGTTGTATAAATGGGAAGCGTAATTAGGCCGAGGATTTAGACAGTGGTTCTGCTGCCTGCCTCACCAGCACAAGGACCTGAGTTTGATCCCTGGTACAAAAAAAAAAAAAGTAAATGTAATTATTGTCCTACAAACATACAACAAATAGTTCAAACGGTATTTCTTGCTATTTTACTACAAGAAATGTGGCCTAAAATGCATGGATCTAGGAACAAAAGAGAATACAAGTGAACACCACATGTGAACACTTGTATGAGTAGCAAAACCCCAAACCCACTGTAGACTTTCCTTTCTCTTCACCTTCTTTTCACAAAGATATGAAAAAGTAATTTGGGGCTGCATGAAATAAAACAAATTCAGTAATTAGAAGTGTTGGAAATTAAGCCTTCAAGGTCCTATGAGAAGAAACATTCAGGCTCTGTCTTTTGTGCTTCAGTTTGGTGGTTCCAGGGAATTGGATTCTATATCTATGTCTCCTCCTCCCACAGTTCTCTGCATGTAGCAGGTCCCACTTGACCCTGTATTCAAATCACTTCTTATATATGTGGCATGCCTTTGGTTTTTACTATTTATGAAAGCAGCATAGAAACTACTTTTCTTTTATCATGCTCAGAAAAGTAGCAAAATCCTTTGAGTGCTAAGGGAGCTGAAATATCACTTCACTTTCACACTGGTTCCAATTGCCTTTAACATTTCATGGATGACAGCAAAATATGGGTTACTGTAATCATGTTCCTAAGCACTACAAACATATTATGAAGATGATGATGGTGAGGTGAAAGATGATAGTAACTGCGACATCTTCAGCCAACACTGAGTCATCTATAAATGTAATCATCTGAGATACATATTCTATGACAGTAATTTATTTCACAGGTGCAATCTTTCCCAAATATAAAGTCCTATATTATTACTTTACAGCAAAGCAGGAGTTGCCTGTTTATAGAGCTACTTCTGGGTTGTTTTCTAGAAAAGAGAGAAATCACATTTCCATGATGATACTGGGATGAAGCACACAGCCACGTTGCTCCCTGACAAACTGCAGAAAATGACAGACAACTGCTCAAACATTTGAATTTGATGTATGTGCTTCACAGAGAGATTTAAAAACACATTTACAGGTAACAATCATGATAGAAACCACTCTGAGACAGCTACAAATTTATAAATTGAATTTTCATATTTAAAGTCTGATTCTGCCTATTAGCCCACAGTGTCTTGCCTGAATAGCCAGCAGTTTGTCTATGGGAAAAGAACAATTCTCCGCACAACTGGGTACAGCAGAGGTCGCAATGATCCTCGACTCTGTGACATCTTGAATGTCAAGAGAATTGGGCAGCGAAGGCAGCATGACTGGTATAGAACACTTCTATAGAGGCACAAATGAATCCATGGGAAGAAACAAATTTCTCATTAATAAATTATCTGTTCCTGTTAGAATGATTTATTCCCTTGTTTCTAGAAACTTGCTCTCATCAGTCCTCTCCGATTTATTCTTCCCTGCACCTCCTCTCACCCCTTCTAGAAGCTGCATGTTCAGTAAATAGTAGCAAGCTCAGAAGATGGTGTCTCAGCCAGGTAAGAGTTTTGATCACTTTGGCCCCCTCAACACATTTTCACATTAAGATCTTGTCTTTTTTCTTTTACTCTTGTTGCCATACTCTTGGTCAGGTGAGTGGAGGTCTGATCAAACTCCAATATAATAGATATCTTAGGTGAGAGAAATTTTGTTGTAGATGAACTTTAAATATTTTCAGGTAAATGTTAAGAAAACTTGTTATGGTTACATAAATCAGTGCTGATGTGAAAACACAGAAAATGGGCTCTTGATTGCAGTTTTCCTTAAAGGACAGGTACACAGGGGAACTGAATTATACAGAGACACAGAATTTTAAAGGTGATAGTTCACATCTCTATAAAGTATAATATCAGAAGCAGCCATTTTTAAATGTTTATATTTTAATTTAAATAGTTATCAGTGACAGTAAAAACAGGTAAAAATAATGAAGCATTTTAATGTCATAGCATTTTACGTCATTTTACATGTATCTCTTATTACTGTTTAATTAATTTTATTGGTGCATTTAAGGTATATGATATACTGACCTTCATCATTGGAAATTTGCACCTTTTCATAATCCATCCTGGTTATTTTCCTCATTCCCCGACCCTGCCTTCAATTCCACCATCCCTCCCTATCTACAAAGACGTTGTTTCCATTTTTTCATCTCAGGGGCAAAGGGAAGGGGAAATGGGAGGAGTAGGGGAAAGGAAGAAGGGAATTTAATTAATATGAGAAAGTGAAATAATGAAAAACAATGTCTTACATGTCTTTGTGTTGACTATTCCTTATGCAAACATTTATACCAGGTTAACACAGCAAATTAATGTAGTAATACTTAGAAATCTATCATTTATCACAAACTATGTAGGAACAAAGCCAGAGCTGTTACTCATAAATTAGAAATTCCAAACTTATTGGCCTTTCAAGAATGGCTCCAACCAAGATCCATCTGTTACAACTACTTGGGGATATTCTAGCTCTCTGCATAAGGATTATTCCTGTCAAATTCACAAATTATTCTCTAGTTTTACCATCCATTTTGCATGGCTGGATGACTTATTGATTCAGAAGCAATTCTATCTCTTTCAAATTGGTCCTGTTGGTACGTCTGCCTTCAAATGAAAAATTAAGTGCCCAAATGAAAAGCCAAAAAGATGCTGTCAATAAGTGACATATTTCTTTCTGAGTCAGAGACATTGACATTGAGTTGTCAGTGACAACTTTTTGAATAAATTCAATATCCCACGTAATAGCCACCATTTGGAAATGTAAATGTGTCAGAATCTGCAGAAAATTTGTGTATGTGTATGTGCCAAAATTATTATTCCTCCCATTCTAGTATACAATTATATTTTTTGACCGAGGATCAAACTGAGGACCTTACATTTGTGAGGCAAGCAGAATCACCACTAAGCCAAATCCCCAGCCCTAATACATTAGCTCTTTGTTGTTGTTGTTGTTACCAGGATCGAACTCAGGCTTTTGGGCTTGTGAGGCAGGAGGCAGATCTACTGAGCCAAATCCACAGCCCTAATGCATTACTTTTTAAATGCAAGGAAATATCACTAATCAAGAGCAGGATGCAAATTTAAACTACAGTGAGATATCACATTGTGTCTGTTCAGCTGTTTACCAAATGATGAGTGATAACAAGTGTCGATTCCCTAAAAAGAGAGGATTGAAAGTATTAGAGAGAGCAATTCAGTGTAGCCAATGTGAAAACACTGAGTTTACTCAAATAATTAAAAAATATAAATACTGCATAGTCCTGCCATTCCTCCATTTCACCTGTGTTTAAATCAACTGAAATCAATATGTCGAGGCATATGTACATTTTCTTTAAAACATAATAATTTTTCAAGTTAGTCGATACATGATTGGAAACTAAGTATTTCACAACAGATAAATAAATATATATGTACTCACTGGAACATTAACAAGGCATAAGAGCAAGGAATTTATTTCAATTGAAACAATGCAAATGAGTCTGTATCACATTGTGTTAAAAGAAATAAGCCATGCTGAGAAAGACCAATAATGCAAGAATTGATATGTAAAATGCAAAATTTTCAGAACCATGGAAATGGAAATTAAAATGGTCTATAAGAGGACATGGATGAGGTGTTTAGGTACACATTGGTGAAAACAAACAAAATTGCAGATAGGAGGAATAATTTAAGAGATCTACTGTACATCATAATGAATACAGTTAATGAGAATAAATTTTATCCTTAATATGAAGAGAAACACAGAGGGAAGATATGTTTGTAAAACATATTTCGTATAAAATTCAAGTATCCAAAGTATATAAAGAAATTCTAGAGATCAGAAGCAAAAGTACACTCTGCATTATTGCAATGTGAGCAAGACTTGAAAAGAAATTGCTACACAGAGTATACAGAAATAGCAATGGAGCACTGCAGTAGATACTTAATTATTCCCTAGGAAATGCAAATCACAGTTATAATAAGATACTACTTTAAACCAAACAAAATGAATTTATTCCCCAGCAGTGAGTTTGGCTCTGGGACACTTTAGTTATTGAAAATGAGCATATTCATTTGCTGCCTAAAATCATGTTAGGTACTGATAAAAGCTTTGCTGGTGATCTTTGTCATTCTGTTTACATCCACAAAAAATAATATGACTGTACTAAATAATGTGATGTTATTTGGCTACTTAAGCAGATACAGTTTGTCACTGACAAAATCATCATTCTGGGGCATATGACTGTACAGGAACAAAAACTCTGCATGCATAATCACTATAGCATAATTTGTAGTAGCTAAAAATCATAATAACACCAACATGTTCATTTGTGAATAAAGACATAGTTGTGTGAATACGCAGTAAAATATTATTAAGATATTGTTTAGTAGAATTGTTTATTATAACATTATTTATTGCTTAAATTTGAAATGGAGGAAGTTAACAGTATCAAATGGAAACATCCAAATAAGGGGGAGAGCGAAAAACAGAGGGAACCAGGGAAGGTAAAAAAGAGTTCAAAGAAGAAAGAAAAAAAATCAAAGAAGTAGGAAAGATGAGTGAAAAGAAGGATGGAAGAAGGAACAGAGGACTCCACATAGTCATAGCAACAGCTCAGAATTACCCCATTAACTATATAACAGTGAAACCCCTCTTCAAAGATAGGTTTCAGCTTTCCACATTGAAATCTAACTACTGTTTTTGTACATGGAAAACTGCATATATTGGATGTAAGCTCATTATCAGTTTCTAGTGATAACACATTCCAAACTTAGTCTCTTCCCTTTAAATATTATATAAATGAGAGAAAATAGCTCAAACACTGCTTTGAGATGTAAATTCATAATTGTAAAATAACAACAACAATCCTGATATGCTAAGCACTCTGATTATCTTTATTTTTCTTTCATCAGTTAAGAACAAGACTATAACCATGTCATAGTGAAGACCACTAATATGCAAGCAATTATTTTATAGAAAAGCATAACTGTACTTTATATAAGTATTTATATCGTGTTAAAATTATCAGAAATGGCAAAGGAATCATTCAAACTGGACACCACGCACCATGTATATAGAGAGAAATTTTAAAAAATACAAGTGGAACAGTTGAGAAAAAACAAATTATAACTATTGAAGACAAAGATATAGATGTTTGGGGAATACAAAAATTAATATGGCACTTAGGGGACAAATGAGCAATGATGTTATAATTCACAGCGTTTTCCTCAGGGACTATAATATTCCCATCGTTCTGAAGACACAGTTCAGTGAAAGACCGGAGACTGCTCTGCTGAAAAGTCTTCCCAGAGCCCCCTTCACATCCTTGTTCCTCAGGCTGTAGATGAAGGGGTTCATCATGGGGGTCACCACAGTGTACATCACAGAGGCATTCATGCTTCCCTGGGAAGAATGGGTCGCAGCAGAACTAAGGTACACCCCAAGTCCTGATCCATAGAACAAGAAAACCACACAGAGGTGAGACCCACAGGTGGAAAATGCTTTATATCTGCTTTCATTGGAGGACATCTTCATTAAAGAAGATACAATCTGATAGTAGGAGAACATGATTCCCAAGACAGGAAATAAACCCAGAAAGACAGTTACCACATTTAGAAAGATGTTATTGATTAGGGAATCAGATCTGGCCAACTTGAGAATATGAGGCAATTCACAAAAGAAATGAGGGATTTCAGTGCCTGAAGAGAAGTTGAGTTGCATTAGCAGGAGAATATTGATCAGGTCTACACATAAGATGATGAACCAGGAAATGAGAACCAGACAGCCACAGAGCTGAGGGTTCATGATGAGTGTGTATTGCAGGGGGTAACAGATGGCCACAAAGCGGTCATAGGCCATCACAGTCAATAGGAAGTCATCCACTCCAAAAAATGTCATAAAAGAGAATGCTTGAGTGAGGCACTCTATATAAGAGATGTCTTTCTTATTTTCCTGGATGTTCACAAGCATCTTTGGGACTGTGGAGGAGATGAAACCAATGTCAACAAAGGACAGGTTACAGAGGAAGAAGTACATCGGGGAGTGGAGGTGGGAGTCACTGGTTGTAGCCAGGATGATGAGTAGATTCCCAAGCACTGTGATCAGGTATATGGACAGGAAGAGTCCAAAGAGTATGGATTGCACTTCCGGATCCTCTGAGAGACCCAGAAGGAGGAACTGTGGTAGTCCGGTGTGGTTTGCTGCTCGCATGTTGCTGCTTTATCTTCAGGAGAAGGAAGAAGGAGCAGCATTCAGTGAGCAGCCATTGAATTTTTAGGTTGTCACTCCACAGTATCATCCCTCCATGGATGTCTTTCACTCACTATTGTGCGTTCAGAAAATGGTAGCTCATTTCCTTTTCAAATGTGTATAATGGTTCACATTTCCTTTAATTCGTGAGACATTTCCTCATTCTTTTTAGCACTTAATCACTTGTTTTAATTTTCATATTTTAACTTATGGAAATGATTAGCTTTTATTTGACTTTTATAAAATTATTTAATGTCTATGTATTTTATATAACAACCTGTACTTATTTGTTCTTCTACTTTTATAATACAGATTAAACAGTGATTCTTACACAAATTTTTATTCTATGGATTTACATTTCATTGTGTTTTTTCAGTACTATATTTTTTTTCTAAAAATTTGGTTACTACTGAAACACTGTAAAAGTTAAAAGCACATTGTCATTCTCAGAGGAAATTTCAATAAAGAAGAGCAATCTTTACAGCTATTCTTGTTTATATTTTCCTTTTTATTCTATCATTGTGGATATGTAATGCTGTCAAAGTATTTTAAAGTTCTATGATTTAAAAACTGAGTTTCTGAATCAGACTTTCTTGAGTAGAATCTTGGTCTTCCAACATAAATCATTGTTACCTTGAAAAAATAATTTAAACTCTAATCATTACATATACCACATCACTGTCCTAGAAAGAGGGTTAGTTCTCTACATGACAGTATTAAAGCAAAATGCAATGAAATGATGTTTTCATTTTCCACTCTTTCCTGTGTTACAATGAGTATGTTATAAATAAATTTTGTTATTAATATGTCCGTAAATATATCTTAGTTAACTCATTGAGCAATAACTCAATTAACTGTGGAAGTCACAGTTAGAGGAATTCAAATGATTACAAATTGTTTGTTACCTCTTTTTACCTACCATGCAGCACTTTTAAATTCTGAATATGTCCATGGATTCTTCTTTTCTAGACAGATACATTCTTCTTAGTAAGGGAAAAAAACCATTCATTCTACATAGATAAGAGGAGGAAAGGAAAGCACCCACCATTAAAATCAAATGAAAGTTATAGGTGATTATGTGATCTCAAATTTCTATTTTTCGGACTGGGAATGTACATTATTTTTGCATCAAAGATCGAACTCCAGACCTTGCCCTTGCAAGAGCGCCTGCAGAATCAATGAGCTAAATCCCAGGCCTCAGGGAATGTACTCTTAAAATCAGCAAAGTTAATGGCCAAAATATATATTGATTAAAATTAAAATATTCAAAAGATCTATGGATAGAATTATTGTTTACACTATAAAAGTAAATAATCAATCATAAGATGAGGAGGAAGAAACACTGGCTGAGAGAACAGAGTGTGTGACTTCCCTACCAGACATCAAGCTTGTGATTGTTACAGCTTTTGCTTAACTTTTGTCCTGTGAGACTTTTATATGCTGCCTGTAACAATGTGCGTTCTGCACAATTTTGATATATATTAAATATCAAGATCAACGTGTCTACTATAATTTTAAAAATAAAACTTCCAAGCCTATTACAAAATAATACAGAAACAAAACTATGTAACAAAGGTAATTAAAGTCATAGATATATTGTTAAAAGGAAAATGTGATTCTGAGTAAATATCAATTGTAACAAAGTCTGTTTAACATAAGCTGATTATCATAATTCATCACAATAATGAACCAATAAATATGAGCTGTAAAACAGTCACAGCAGACATATATAATTGGACAAAATTTAATAGGTATTTGCCTAGTAAACATCTGTGTAAAGACGATGGGTATGTAATGAAGCCAAAGATGTTTTTCTAACTCAAAGAATGCTGTGTTCAACAACAAAAATTTTTCAGTAAAACAGTAGAATCTTTGTGTTCATTTAATGAAAATGAAAAGACAGTCTTTCCAACCTTAATCACACACAATATTTCCCTAAACCTCTAAAGGTAAATTATAAGTGATTTGGTTATAAAACTTTAGGCATCATAGTGTTTTGGGCAGATGATAGTGTAGAGATGAAGATTAAATCATAAGTACAATAATATGGAAATAAGGACTATCAGAAAAAGGAATCTGCCTGTGGATACAGGCAAGGAAAATAATAGACCAATGCTACTGAAAGAGAAGCAAGATAGATAACAGCTCATATATAATAGGTTTTCAGCATGTAGTTAATAATAAATGACTGGATCTTAAAAATGGATGCACCTTGAGGACATAGCATTAGGTGAAATAAGTCACACACAAGTTTAAATATCACATGATTAATCTTATATGAGAGATTCGATGTATACTAAATTAGAGAACAAAGTGGGCTGGGGGTTTAGTTCAGTGGTTCGGTGGCCTGCCTTGCAAGTGCAAGGACCTGAGTTCAATCCCTGGTACAAAAAAAAAAAAAAAAAAAAAAAAAAAAAAAAAACAACAACAACAACAAAGTGAACATAGACCATAGGAAGCAAGGAGAAATACTTTTTGCATAAGAAAAAGTAACCAAGAGTTAGAGGGAAGGTGAAGGGAGAGGAGAAAGGGATAAAAAAGGAACCAGAATGGGTTTATGTACCTGTGCCAAATCCCAGTGATGACTAAACCTTATGCATTGCAAACATGCTGATAAAAATTAAAATTTCAAGACACAAGAAAACATAATCTCATCAGAGACTACAATTAATGAGAAAAAGTGTTGACATGTTGGGGATTCTCCAGAAAAATAACTCATTCATCCGAGGTTCCAGTTTCTAAAATCAGAGAAGAGGAGGGGAAGTAACTGGTATAGACAGGTCTCAATGGAAACCAATGTTTTTCAGAACATATATACTTCCCCTCCACAGACTAAATATGGGGATTTCACAGGATTGTTATTCTAGAGGTGAAGCCCAGTGCCTACCTTGTCTTCCTCTCTTCCCCTCTTCTTCTTCCTCCATGTGCCCTCACTAAGACATGCCCACCTCTTCTGTGGCTGTCACTGCAGCTTTCCATTCTACAAGCTCTGTCCCTAAGAACCCCCCTTACCATTTCATAGAGGGTGATCACAGAGTGACTACAGCTGTGTGCTTCTACTCTCTATAGATTCTAAAGATCTGAATCTCAAAGCTCATAAATATACTGTAGTATGATCTTTTCAGTCTCCAAAGAAATCAGCTCCCTTGGGGATGAAAGGAAAAAAAAAGAATGGAAAAATTTTAGTCCATATTATGTGTGTTGAGGTAACAGATAATGATATCATTTTATCTCCTCCAATAGAAACTCATTTTAGCTTCCAGTGATTTCAAAGTCGCAAGTTTTACACCAAGCAACACATAATTTCTTCATGGAAACTTTTCCAGAAAATTCCCACCTTGCTACACCTACTGTGAATGACCTTTAGAAATTTTATGGATTATTGCCCACAATGATACAAAGAATTGGAAATCCTTTCTTGTTAATATTTTTTCAACACCTTTATTTTTCCATTTTACCTTTTAGGCAGAGAAATAAAATAGCATGCATTTCTCATGTACAGCATGGTTATCAGAAATGGGATAAACTGTGAAATCACTTAGTCTAGAAAAGTGCTTCCATTACTTTTATTATAATTTTTATGGAGAGTATGCCTGACATCTATTCAGAATTTTTCTCAAATATAATATACTATCATTAATTGTACTCATTATGTTTTAAAAATTGTCTTAATTTTACTTGTTTTTGTCACTATACTTTTTACTTATTTTTATGAGTTTATGTTTTACAAACATGATATTTACATTCCTAATGAGGAATTGGTACATATACATAAAAATCATGATCATTGTCATTTTCCCCTCTTATGTATTTGCCTTACCTTCTTCGCACATCTTCCTACACTCCAATGTCTATGGAATCCACATCCATGTTTCTTAACATGTGTTTTGGTCTGTCAAATAACCAGTATTTTGGGGCCATCATGTTAGAGAAACTATGTGACATTAACCTTCTGTGGTTGATTTTTTAAAATTCTTATTATTATCTCAAGATGCACCCATAAATGTCCAAAGTGTATCCTTCCTTATGGCTGAGAAGTACTCTATTGTGTAAATATACCACAATCTCTATCCCTACACCTGATGTTGGGCGTACTTACCTATTATGAGTTATGAAGCTATAAACATGAGTATGAATGCATCACCATAATGCAATGTCTTTCTTTTTCTCTCTGGAAGATAGCCATAAGAGGTATAGCAAAATCAAGTAAGCAGAAGAAGTATAGCAGTTTCCTTTCTTTAAGACTTCTCCTTAGTGTTTGCCCTTGTGATTATATTATCTTACATTCCCTCCAACAATAAGAAAGTATTTATTTTTCCCCATTTCTTTTTTCTCATCAGAATTTTTTGTTTACTGATAGTTTGACAATAGCCTTTCTTTGTGCAATAAGATGGAATCCCAATGTTGTTTTCATTTGCATTTCTCTAATTCCCAATGTTGGCAAATACTTTTTTTAGGTACCACTGTGCTATTTCTGCTCATTTTGAGAAAGGTCTATTCATTCCATTCACCCATTTTTCATTGTGTCTTCTATTTTGGGAAGTCTAAACGTTTAGAATTCTTTATGTATTCTTGAGTTGAAAAGAAGGGACTTTAATGCAACAGTCTAAGCAGGCTTATTACTGATCCTAGGGGGATCTCTCTGTGTGAGCAAAACAAAGAAGGTGTCTTTACAGACTAAGAGAGCTTTTTACAACTTTTTTGCAGGATTTTCCGGAGGTAGGTAGGCTGCTGACATGTCTTTGTATTACAGATACATGAGCTATGTAGAAATATTATAGGCAGTCAGAAAGGGCTACCATCAAGTGGGCCAGCATAAAAGTGAAACAAAGGAGAATCTTTGTTCTTTCCAACCACACTTACTACATGACTTGCTTCCCAATTTGACCACCATTACCTGAGTGACCACACTCGTAACCTTATTGGATGTTCATGTCTGTGCCCCACATTGCACCCGCGTG